TGTTGGGGCACAGACATAATAGGTCCGATAGACCCTCCATCTTCCAAAGGACACAGGTTTATACTTGCCGCTACAGATTACTTCTTCAAATGGGCAGAGGCAGTACCGTTGCATGAGGTTACGGCACAACATGTCCTTTAATTTTTTAAAAGCCAAATCGTCTACCGTTTCAGAGTACAGCGAAGAATAATATCTGACAATGGGACAGCTTTCAAAAGTACAAAGATTAACAATTTTGTCAGAAGACATGGGATAGATTGGAGATACTCTACAATTTACTATCCCAGAGCAAATGGTCTGATTGAAGCTTTCAACAAGACACTGGTACAGATTTTGAAGAAACACTGGATGAAAATAAGAGGGATCGGCACAATAAACTATTAGAAGCCTAGTGGGCCTATCAGACGACTTTCAGGATTCCCACTCATTGTACACCTTATATGCTCGTGTATGGGTCCGAGGCCGTGCTACCACTAGAAATCCAGACACAATCTCTCAGAGTCACCGTTGTCAACCAACTCACAACGGAAGAAAGCACAAAACTCAGACTCGAAGAACTGGAGAGTCTCGAGGGAAAATGACTAGAAGCACAACAATATTTGGAGCTTTACCAGGCAAAGATGGTACAAGCCCATGATAAATTGGTCCGCCCAAGGACAATCAAAGTTGGTGACCTCGTACTTGTGCTCAAAGGACCTATTCTTGCACGCCACAAAATAGGTGGAAAATTCAAGCCAACTTGGGAGGGACCAATTGTCGTTGAAAAGGTCTATACAAGAGGAGCCTACCAATTAGTGGACTTCCGGGGCGAAAGACCCATGTTACCAATAAACGGACGATATCTAAAAACCTATTACGTAACCTGATGCTGCTTGCCTTTGCTTGCTTTGAAACTTTGAAACTTTGATTTTTTTAAGGTTATCTATATGGCCAAATGTCTATGACCGGGTCCAAATTTTGTAATTAACCTCAATATAATGAAAAGTTTGAAAAGAAAAATATTTCAAACTTTAATTTTCTTCTTTCCACTTTTAATTAAATAAAACTCATACATAAAATTCTTGTAACCCAAAACAAACTAAAATTTATTTTAATGAATACTTTGTTTTGTTCTTGTTCTTGACAAGTTTCGGCCCACTGACATTTTTCTTGTCGTCTGCAGAAAAATGTCGAGACAGCGGTTGATCCTTACTTTCCAAGATGGCTGGAACCTTGCATTAAATGAGGAGATGGCGTTACCATAAACTTCAAAGTAGATTTCAACTAGGTTGATGTGAACTACGGTCCTGTAATGGATGTAGTCAGCTGCAAAGAGAAAGAGGGACTTCCTTCACTACTGAGAGTGACCACTAAAAAAAATGTATTACGCAAGGGCAAGAACGTGGTAACAGAGCGAGATCCGATGGAGGGGCCCAGCCGTCTGCCCTCCATGGTAGCTACACCTGCTGAATGCTTAATAGTCACCAATAATGAAAGACTACCAAGTACTCCGCTTCGCAGGACGCAACGCGGGAATGCCAGCCGCAAGAAGCAGAGATCTTTTCTACAACAAAGATGCAGCCATCAAAGAGAGACAAACAACTTACTCACCCCTATTCCTGAGGGGCGTATTTACAATCTGGACATGAAAGAAACTTCTGCTAGCCTACCCACCACAAATGAAGAACCAGGATTCATAACAGAGTCAGATACACTTTCAGTTTCAGCTGTTTTATGCAAGGGTTTCCCGACATGCAATGCTGAAATACCGGCCGGGACATCAGCCATGGGGGCGTTTGTAGAATGCCCGGATTGCATTGTTCTATATTTACAACATTTCAGTACATTTGAAGAGTATACCACCGATGGGTCTCAAACTTCAGATTTTATGATGGATGAGCCATACGTCCCACTAGGGACAGATCAGTATGTACCATGGAGTCCAGGGTCGTACATCCCGCTAGACGCCAAGTCTCGTATTCCAGATCAACCAGCACTAGTTGGGGTTCCTGCCAATGTTCAGAGGGAGGAACGCCCGCGACAGCTACCGACCCCTAGTACGATGAAGTACTTCAAAATTAGTAAAGTAAATAAAAGGGAATTTGAATTTTACAAAGAATTCCAGGGAAAATTCATCAACATATTGGAGGGATTAGAACTTTATACCAGAGTCTTCTCAAAGACTTACGAACAAAGTGTACTTGACTGCATTTTTGACCTAAGGGACAAAGGTTAAGTAGGTTTACTTATGGAAAGGACCTATTTCAAGCTGAGGAAATGGATGCTAGGAAAATGGAGGATTACTATCCAGTGTGGCTACTGCTATAACTTCACAAATGATAGACTGGGGAATCTGCCTAGCATCCTCAGACACGATCAAGTAGATCCACTACCGCTAATGATAAAGTGGTTGATCAAAAGAATGGTCAAATGGAATATTCTGCCTGCTACCTACATCCCAAACAGCTGCATCATCAACATATATGACGAGGCAGACTGCATACCTCCTCACATCGATCATCTGAAATATCTGACATCGTGGTTGATGCTTACTTGCTTTCAGACGTCGGTGATCACTTCGTCGATGTTCCTGACGGCAATGGCGGCGAACCCGCTAAGTGCGAACTTGACTTTAAATACGATTAAGCAGACGATTGGTTGGACTGATTGGGCGGTTGCGGCGATTGTTCCCGGCCTGGTTTCTTTGATTGTTGTTCCGTTGCTGCTGTACTTTATTTATCCGCCGACGGTGAAGAGCAGCCCGGATGCGCCAAAGCTAGCGAAGGAGAAATTGGATAAGATGGGACCGATGACTCAGAATGAGATTATCATGGCGGTGACGCTACTTGTAACGGTATAGCTGCAATTTTCCTTCTTTTTTTTTTTCAATACATACTTTTTCAGTTGAACTATAGTTATGGCTGTTAGCAATCTGCTCTAAAGCTGATTCGAAACTTGCTAAAAGATCAGCTCTCATGTATTTGATTCATTTTTTAGTTGAGCCAAAACCAAACATGGTTCTTTATATTCAATTCTAGCTGTATTCAATCTAAAGAAGGCCCCTATTTAGATCATTTTTTTTCGTTTTAAATATATGCTTTATCCAATAAATGCAGCTACACTTATATATATAAATCTAATGTTATCTGTGGGAAAATATTAAGTCTATACTAGGAAAAAATATTGCCTCAATAGTACGCATGTAGACCTATGTCCGTAGCCAATCAAATGCCGCCTCGTGGAAAGCCCAACCCCACCTTTTAAAGCACAGAAAAATAAATTTCATATTATTCACGACCCGACCCGACCCTAAACCTGAAAAATTTCCCGCCAGCATAAAAATATCTCGCGCCTACTTACTGTTCTATTCGCAGTTGTTCTATTGCAGGTGAAGAAATATTTCGTAGCTCCACAATTAGGGTTTCGATGGAGGTCTCCATGAACGTTGAGATGTCGGAGGAATTACACCCATAATTCAGCCTGAACTTTGAAGATCAAGTGAGTCTGTAATGATCTCTAGTTTTATGTTAGCTTAGAGTTTTCATTGCGTTTCTAGTATTGTCATTTTATTTGTGGTATTTATATTTCTTGGAAGGTAGTAGTATTTTTGTTAATATGGTAAAATTTATGATATTTTTCTGTTGCACTTTTTGTGTTATTATGGTGTTAAGCTTGTGTTTTCTTGGTGTTACCTCTAGACTCATCTGTTTGAAAATCCCAAGCAAACATGCTATTCCCAGCTTGCCTCTCCATGAACAATTGTATTAGAGCACTGACATCTCCCTGTTCAATTCTTTGTCTTCTTTATTTTTGGATGAAATTAAATGCATCTATCTTATTGCATTCCAAATTCTCCACACCACCAACCTCCGTGGTAATGAAATTGTATTACATGTGTTGCTCTGATCCCTGAATCTGTCATTGATCTCAACACATCTGTATTTAACTCATTTATCATTCTGCTGGAACGAAGAAAATGCTTATCACCACTTTCAACCAAGAGATGATTGTGATTTTCAATGAATTTCGCCACTGTCCAATTGCCTTCGAAATCAACAGCAAATTGAACCATAACCTTATAGCCAGTCATCGTGTCTGCTTTTCTGAACTTAACTGTGTTGTTAGACTCTTTCTTGTAGTCAGCTTTTCCACAAATATAATCTTTGATCTTGAGTTTCTTGGAGTTTGGCCAGTTGGTAGTATGGTCCTTCCGAACAGTGAATCCTACGTGATGTGCATAGGCACGATAGCTTTCATATGCTTCTTGCTCATTGTGGACAATGCTGCTTAGAAACTTCTCTGCAATTGGATCATTGCAAACGTGTGTTGCCTCACAGTACTGCATAACACCATGATAACATCAGCAAAACACAATAATAACACAATAACAGTAATAAATCAAAGACAATAAACAACATAATATTGGAGTAATACCAGAGTAACACCAGAATAATATAAGAGTAACACTAAACAACCACAAGCTTAAAATCATAATAACAAAAAAAATATCATTATAATACAAAAAACAACACTGTAGAGCCCAATAACACTACATCAACATCAACACCAACATTTGCATTAGACTAAATCAACTATTATACCACAATAACAATACTAAATCAAAGACAATAAACAACATAACATTGGAGTAATACCGGAGTAATACCAGAGTAACACCAGAATAACACCATAGTATCACCAAGAAAACACAAACTTAATACCATAATAACAAAAAAAAAAACAACAGAAAAACTAGAGATAAAACTAGTTTAACACCCTAAGCTAACGTAAAACTAGAGATCATTACAGACTCACTTTATCTTCAAAGTTCAGGCTGAATGATGGGTATAATTCCTCCGGCATCTCAACGTTCAGGGAGACCTCCATCGAAACCCTAGCTGCGGAAGCTGCGAACGGAGCTGCGAAATATTTCTTCACCTGCAATAGAACAACCTGCGAATAGAACAATAAGTAGGCGCGAAATATTTTTATGTTGGCTATAAATTTTTCAGGTTTAGGGTCGGGTCGGGTCGCGAATAATATGACATTTATTTTTCCTTGCTTTAATAGGTGGGGTCGGGCTTTCCACAAGGCGACATTTGATTGGCTACGGACGTAGGTCTACATGCGTAGTGCTAAGGCAATATTTCTTCAGGGTTTCGCCAATAAAGGAGGTAGCGCTTCGCCGAGGAAGACGATACGGAGCCTAAAATCTAAACTCTTAATAGTGCGGAGAAAATGAAAAGGCTTTTTAGGCGGGTTCGAGTTTAGGGTCTCCGGGTCGCGAATAATATGAAATTTATTTTTCTGTTATTTTTCTGTGCTTAAATAGGTGGGGCCGGGCTTTCCACGAGGCGGCATTTGATTGGCTATGCACGTAGGTCTACATGCGTAGTACTGAGGCATTATTTCTTCCCATACTAGAGATATGATTTAGCACAAAGAGTACATTGGAGTAGAGAAATATCTAGTCTTGGAGATTGTCTTCAGCGAATTGATTTATAAAGGATACCCTTTTTGATGAAAAAAGGTGAGTTAAACACGTGAGAGACAATTTGGAGGGAGGGAGGGAGGGAGGGAGGGAGGAAGAGAGGGAGGGAGAATATGCGCTAGAGATATAATCTAATTAGATAGATTTTTTGACACTGAGTATAGAATTGCATGATTGCTATGCTCGAGCATTAGGCTATTCAATGCATTAGGGAACTAACACATCGCAATTTATGGGTTACAAGTGGTTCACAATCAATGTTTTGTTGTACCTGGTCCAGGCTCTCATGATCATTTTTACATATTGTGAAATTGGTGCTCAATTTTTAACTTTTAACTAATCTTGCTTTCTTTTAATCAACCCCTATTTGTGAATATGAAAATCAATTTGAAGTAGAAGTTCAACCCTTTCACTTGTGTTTTAATGTTTTCTTCTTACACATCCAAAACCATCTTTACTGAGGCCTCTAAGCAATTATAATACATGATATCAATATGAAAGCCATGAAAAACCCATTCAGATAATATTTGAAGATGACCCTATTGTATAGACTATGCATACAATGAATTTTGCTTGATATATTTGATAGTGAAAGAGGGTTGATAGTAAATAAATTCAGAATTTTCTAGAGGTTTTCAAGAAAGCTGATTTTTCAAATTGAATGCTTTGATGATGCCCTAATTAAAATTTATTACTATATGTTTCATAAATTTATATTTTACGCTATGATTTCTCTTTTCATGGGGAAAAAAAAAAGAAATGTGATGGTAGAATCAGTTCAAATGCTACTTCATTTACAATGCCAATTTTATTTTATTGTTATATTATGGCTTCTTCATAGTTTTTACATATCATTCTTCAAGGATGATGCACTTGGTGTCCATTTCTAGATTATTGAAGCCAATTTTTTTAAAAGTGCACTTCAAATCACACTTCACGAGCAAAGAAGTGAAGCTCGTGACGCCCGCTTCACTTCGCTGAAGTGCGCTTTGAAGCTTCTGTTCATTTACAGTTTTTTTTTTTTTTGCAATTTCTAAGTTTCGCAATAACAATTAGAAATTTTCCGAAATTTGAATTTGTAGGGTCACATTCAATGTTCTCCTTCAAGTTAAAGTGTTGTGCCACATTCATTTTTAGTTAATATCAACTTTTGAATCATATTTTATGTTTATGATTGTTTATAAATGTTTTTATACATTAATAGTTTGATATAGTTTATTAGTTCTTTGATTAATAAAAGCGCCGCTTCGCTTTGCGTCTTGAGCTTTGAAGCAAAAATGAAATATTGCATATTGCGTTGCACTTTGCATTTTGATAACACTTATTGAAGCCTATAGGTAGGGGAAATTACTAGTTCAATTATGGACCATGTCCCAATACTTGGGGATTTGTGACATTTGATCGGATTTTCTTTAAAATGGTCAACTTTCGTCCTTGTATTCAATCAAAACTTGTAATTGGTCTGACCATTAATATCCCTTATTTGTTCAATTGTTAATATTAATATTTTTTGATGATTATAAACTAGGTATTGGGTTAATGGTTCATGCTCGAGCTTCTGACCATTTGGTGATGGGTTTGATATTTACATCTCACAGAGTTGTTCATTTCTGGGAAAAGTATTTTCCATATGCTTCTTCTAGCTCTTTTATTAGGGGTTTGTCTTCTTTTATGATTCTTAAATCCTATAACTCGTTCTGTCCTCCCTTTATAAAATATATAAATTTTTATCCTTCAAAAGAACATATTTAGATGACAAAATTAAAAGAAGATTCTCAATCGGATGTGTGATGATGAGTTATATGCCAATTTTTTTAAATTTTTTTATGTGCATATAGAAATGTGTTGATTCGATTACAAATTGAACTTAATTAATTTTGCGAGTCATCAGTGAGTAAAAGGGATACGTTACAACTTTAAAGTCGGCACATTTTTTCACATAAATTAGTGCAAAAATAATATTTTTTCAATAAATCAAACGACTCCATAAGAATACAAAGATAAACACCTGCAATTCGAGAGGTAAACAATCTCTCCTAATTCCTATAATTATGAGGTAAGAAATCTCTTTCAAACCTTAGACCTAAGACTCACAACTCGATCTCATAAATAAACCTAACCACAGACATAACAAACCTTTTTATACCTAACGATAATAATAATAAAAGACTATATTTCTCTTAGTTGTACAAAAGACAAATTTACCTTTAGGCTAGGCGCCAACATAACAATAATCCCCTGCACCCACAAACAAATAATAAAAAAAAAATTTGCCCATCAATCTTGGAAAAAGTGTCTGTTCATCCTCCCTCACAGGTGTTTCTATTTATTCATTCTCTGCCTCCTCGTCACTTTTCGTCATA